ATTTTGCCTCTGTCTCCACTCACTTTGCAGCACCCCCCACTCCGTTCTGTTCCCACCCACAGCCCCTTTACTGGGCCAGCCCTTTCTCAGTTGCAGGTCCTCCAAGTTCCAACCACTGTTCAGCTCTATGTTTGGTTGTCTTTATGCTGACAACAAGCTGACCAGCTTGTTTTCTAAACTTCATTCTAAGTAAATTTAATGCCAATTAAATCTGACTCTGAAGGTAAAGTTCAAGTACCAGAGACTATGATCTATGACAGTTATCTTTGATCTACTGCCCTACACTTGGCTCTCTGCTGAGATTAACCTTAATCTGCAGGAGCAGATAGAGACTTGTCTCATTATCTGGATGTACTGAATTTCAAAAAGTTTTCCTATTCCCCAACAGGGAGCCGAAGCTAGGAGCTTGGAGATTCCTCTTTTTCTCAAGTCATTGGAATAAATGTGTCTCCCCTGCAGGGGGGACCCTCCTAGGAGCCGGTGAACTCCAGGCACAAAAATACTTGACCAAGGGCTGCCATAGCACGATGTAAAACCTGCCTGAGAACCAAGTTAAAGCCTTCTTTGTGTGCTTTGTCTTCTTACCCCATAAGCCTCAATTATTTTAACAAAAGAATCCCCAGGACTTGGTGACAGTTCAGACACAAAAAACCCAACATATTTCATTTTCTACCTGTTCTAATCTGAAAAGAATGTCACCTTTTTTTTCAGTTTCTCATGAGCTCCATCTCATCTGCTTTCCCCTCAAAAAAGAAAAAAAAAAAAAACAGTTTTCTTGGGGCCAGCCCCATAGCCAAGTAGTTAAAGTTCCACACACTCCACTTTGGCAGCCTGGATTTGTGAGTTCACATCCCGGGTGCAAACCTACACCACTCCTCAGCCATGCTATGGCTACCATCCACATAGAAGATAGAAGAAGATTGGCACAGATGTTAGCCCAGGGCAAATCTTCCTCAGCAAAAAAACACACAAAAATCAGTTCTATGGAGTTTTGTTTCCTATGCACCTATATACTATATACTATATACTATATACTGGCCTGTATACTGCATTTGTCTCAGTGATTGGAACAATCATTCTAGGTTCTTCTTTTCCATTGGTCCTCATGTTAAATCCCTTTACAAATCTATTACTTCTATATCCCACCTCGTCATAGGTTTGGCTTTCTGGGTTTTGCAAGGGAGATTAGTTTGCTGGAAGGTTATTAGACAATGCTTTGTGATCAACATGGGTAGAAGGGAAAAGAAGAAAGTAGGATGGCACAGAGGGAGAAGCTGGGCTGTCCCGGAGCCTCAATAAAGTGTTCATCAAGTCCACAGGGAGTTCTGAAGCTGGATGACCCTTAGAATCATCTGAAATTGAAGAGAAGGGGCCAGGTCCTATACCCACTTTCCTTGCAACTGTATCACTGAACATGGGTGGCTCTGAGATGGGGGCATGCCCTTGGTGGGGAAGAGGTGTCTCTTCAGCCAAAACAGTTCACAAAAAGGGCTGTTAGCCAGCAGCACTCCTCGCAGTTGGGCAAAAACATCCTTCATGCCTAAAGGGAGAGACAGGAGATACATCACAGTTTCCAATACACACATTTGTCTGATTCAGCTGCTTCTTTCCTTCTTCATTGCTTCTACTTTAATGCAGGTTCTCATCATCCATTACCTAGGAAAAAAAACATCCTCCAACCTCTTATTTCATCTGCTTTCCTCTACCTTAGTCATTGCCACTGGCCTGATCGAGTCTGACATTCCTCACACAGCAAACAAAGCCCTCCCTGAATAAGTGTGTGTCTAAAAACATGGCCAGATCTTCCAAGTTCGCTCCACCACTTTAGACTCTAGCTCCACTGAATGTTTTGTATTCCTCTGAACAGGCCAAGCCAGATCACAGCTCTAGTTTTTCAAATGCTCTTTCTGGTATCTAAAACAAGCTACTATTTCTTGACTGCCAGGCCTACTCTTGGACATGCTTTCATGCTTAGCTCAGAGATTGGCTTACCTCTAAAGGTTTTTCTGACTCCTATAGATAGAGAAGACTCAACTCTTATTCACTCCAAAACTGCTATAGTTATTGTGTTCTTTTATAATTCTTTTTATATTGACTGTTCCCAAGACTATACTATATTCTTTAGTTTAGGCGTGATGTCCCTCCAATTTTATAACCCTGGAACTGAGTGCAATGTCTGACTTAGCAAAGGAAAGATAGAAGGAAGAAAGGGTGGAAAGGAGGGAGAGAGGAAAGGAAAATAGACTAAAATATGTCTTCAAGTAGTTCTTCAGGATTTTCTTCCAAGTAACATGTTTTCTGAGTTCTTACGCATGTTTATTTAAGCCCGCCACACTCCCAACTACAAGTCCTTTTAAAAGAAAGAAAATATGTTTGGTTAAGCATAATTCTATAAGAGGACTAAGAAGATTGGAAAATGAGAGAAGGTGTTTTACTGAACCAAAAACATATAAAGACATAGGTAATAATTGCTATCTGATGGTAATATGTAATTGACTGAGAATCAGGGCAAAGTGAACCATAATCCCAAATATACATGGGAGAACGAAAACAGTTGCAGGGGAAATAAAAGCTATTCTCTATAATGGAGTCTGAGTTTTGAAACAGAAGACATATGAAAGAGGATATACATGTATATATGTATATATATATATATGTTTATATATATGTGTATCTGTATGTGTGTATATGTGTGTGAATATCTGTTTTGTTTTAATTTTTAACACAAACCATATACTTTTATATGGGGATGGTTTAAAAATATTTTTAGTTCAAGTATTTAATATTTAATAATTTAGGTTCATGCCCAGAGTTCTAGTTTTGGTATTAGAAGCAAAGAATAGAGCAAGGATGGAGCAAGGCTGCTGACTTCTGCTCTATTTGAGGGTCTGTGGGACTTTCGAATACCGGCTACAGTACAGTTGAGAACATGGTATTGAAGCTCATAAAAGGCTTTTTGTGTGGGATCTGGACATGTGAGTTATTACATAAAAGCTCAACTCCCATGCTCCAAAATCAGTGGCTGTGATCCTCTGTAGTCAAACTCTATCCTGTGATAATACGTAGGAACCTCTGTATCACACACTAATTCTGGCATGGCAGATTAAACTTCAGAGGCCACCTCACTTCTGCATGAGACCAGAGCCCTGAGCTAGGAGAGAGCTCTCTCTGTTCTGGAAACCAGCCTTTCTTCCGTCTGCCTCCAATGAAGACAGGTGAGTTTTGCTGTGATATGAAGACTTAACCTAGCATTGCCTCACTCTGGTTGTGGATCTTTCCATCTGGCTGAATATTAAGACTCCTTTTTGTCTCTTATCCTTATTGGTATCTCTTTCTCCTAAAACTTCATGGACACTGGAAGCACTACAGGTCCTGAGAATCAAGGAGTCTCCAGTGAGAGAGGACCAAAACTGTACAGAGATGTATGTAACAATTATCTCTGGTAATTCCTGTATCCTTAATTATTCACATTTAGAATTTTTCAGCAGCTGCTCCAGAGACTTTCCTTGCTATACCAGAAAGATGGGCCATGCATGAGTTATTCCTGCATTGAGCAACAAAGATCAGACCCTCAAATGCCCCTTCATGTAAGTAGGACCAGCGCCTCTCTCATATCTACTCCCAACCCAAAATCCATCCCTTTCCTTCTTCCGTCTTTCTTTAATCACTTCTACGGTGAGATATCAGTTGTGCATCCAGTCACTGCTGAGGACTTTCGTCAACTCTTCATTCATCCTTAAATCTTCTTATACTTAGAACAATTGGGAGCTTCTCTCCTTCTTGTTTCTTTAAAATTCATCAGAAAGAATCTTCCCAAATCTTAGTGTCTTTTTACCCATTTCCGTTTTCTCCAGCAGAGGGCAGTAGAAGTTTATTTATCTTTTATCCTCAACAGTTCCCATTAAGACAAGATTTCATAAGAAAAGCAAAGGTCAAATGTCGTTAATGATTTTAATGATTACCGTTGTCCTAAAGGAGTCACTAATGGAACAAATATTTCAGGGTTTGGTAAGTCATAATTGTTATATTCCTTCAGGACGTATGAGAGAGTAACAGTGAGCAGAAGCCTACAGGTGTTAGGTATAAGATACACGAAGGGTAAAAGGTGATCCTCAAATAGCGGAGCCACAATAGTCAAACTCCAAAACCCCAGCTCAGCAGCATGTCAGTAAGAATTGTATTGAATGTCAACTGGATCCTCGTGAACTGGGACAAAGGAAGCAGACAAAAGGGAAAGGGACCCTGGGGTTAATCTTTTTGACTCACAATCAAAGCTGCAGACGTTTCTGTTGAGAGGAAATGAGGAAAAGAGAGGAGAGACGACGATAGTACTTGGTTTGGATGTTGTTTGCTGCAGCCGCACCCTAAGAGTTTTAGCCAATGTTACCAAAATATGTATTGGAAAACAACTGTGGCTCTGAATTTTCTGTTCTGGCACAACTGGTAGTGCAGTTAAAAGAAAGATGAACCTAATATCATGAAGCCTAAATTGGTAAAGTTGGTAAAATCTGAACAAGTCACAAGTCAGTGACAAATAAAACTGAGAAAATTGTGTGATTATCACACAATAATAACAAGCATTTTCTGAGAACTCAGTCAATTCTTCTTACCGCTTTAAGCCCCTCACACATGTTGTCTAACTGGGTTGCCCCATTTAATCCTCACAGCATGCTCCCCCGCAGCCCTTCTGACTGAGCCACTCTGTTCTCCAGGTCCTTCTTTTGAATGTTCTCTCTCGTCCTGCAGAGTTCATTCCAATTCATCCTTCAGAACTCACCTCAAACATCACTTTGTTTCCCAAACTTCTTAATTAGGTCAGGTCCTCCCATTACAGGCTTTCAAAGCTCTGCAATCCTCATCTTTATAGCTTGTAAAACAGGTGCAATTTAAGTGTTTCGTGGAAATGGACTTAAAATAAATAAGCAAAGCATCTATAGCCTGCTTTGAATGACAGAAATGAACAAAGATTTCGTCCTTTGATAGATAAAGGGACAGAGATGACACTACTATATCAACAGGATGGCTGTGAGGCCCAGAAAGTTTGCAGGGACTGTGTTGTCACATGATGACGTCATTAAGAGCCCAACCCACTTACCCAGAACTGGGAGACACTCCTTCTCACCCTGGCTGTGCCATGGCTGTCAGGCTCCTCTGGTATGTGGCCCTTTACCTTCTGAGGGCAGGTAAGTCATAGACACAGATTTCTCTAAAATCAGAAGGGAACATTTTCACCTCTGCTGGGTTGCTCCTGGCTCCAGCATTAAGGCCTATCCTGAATTCTGTTGCCACTTTTTGTCTTCTTCTCTTAGGCCTCATGGATGCTGATGTCTTCCAGACCCCAAAACACTGTGTTACAGGGACAGGAAAGAAGATTACTCTGGAATGTTTTCAAAGCATGAACCATGACAATATGTACTGGTACCGACAAGACGCGGGAAGGGAACTACAGCTGCTCCATTATTCATATGGTGTTAATAACACAGAGAAAGGAGATGTCCCCTCTGAGTCGACTGTCTCCAGACTAAGGAAGGATCGTTTTTCTCTAACGCTAGAGTCTGCCAGCCCCTCACAGACGTCTCTATACCTCTGTGCCAGCAGTTAATACACAGTGCTACACAGGCATCTACAGCCTGCACAAAAAGGGTAGTCACAAAGATGAGGCAGTCTCACCTTCACAAACCTCATCCTAAGCTACAGAAGCCACTGTGAATCTCCCCAGACTTCTCAGCCCTGAGGGGTCAGTGTGGTCTAAGCAAAATTATGGGCAGAAAACTGTCCCTGGGTCAGTCCCCATCAAACCAGGGAATGGCCCAGCCCACAGTCAGCGCTGACTTCTGCCCTGCATCTAACTGCAATGTCCAATTGAGGCTTGCACAAGTTGTAGCCTTCAAGATAGGTGGGATATTATTTGACAGTTGCCTTACGACAACCTGCAGGAGAGACTGCCAGCTGAGAAATAGCATGAGTTTCCTGTGGCTCTCTCCATAGGCTGTCTCTATCTCTGGTTAATGATCCCTTCCTCACATAAAACTAGTTACTTCGCACACAGCGTCTCAAAGTCCCTTTCCTTTCCCAAGCCCAATCCCTCTTCTGTCAATCCCAAGTCCTCATTCAGGACTGAGCCTGGAATAAGAGAAGGACCTGAACTGATTATTTTCACTACTCTCCCTCTAAATTAATGAAATTTTAACTAAATGTATATGAGACACAAGGAACAGAAACTGTGGTTGCAAAGAAAACCTTCCAGTAACTTCTCTGTATTCAACCCTGGGTCCCTTTGAGACGTCCCTGACCATTAGGAAGCTATTCCACAGATCAATGCTTCTTCTTACTTAAATACTACGAATCTCAGTGATGTGGTCTCCACCCACATGAGACCAGACCTGGGACTTTGAATAGATCTACTGTTTCACAGACAGTGGATAAAAGTGCAGCTGTCAGCTATGGGGGCCCATGTTTCCTGAGAAGAGGTGGGTGCTGTGCTCAGATGTGAAACCTCTGTCTTATACACATTCCCTTGCAGTCTTCTTTGTTGCTCTTTCTTTTCTCCTCTGCCTTATTTTATCTTGATTTCTGGATTTTTTATTCTTTTCTTCTTGATCTACACATGCACCTTAGATAATGTCATCCAATCCAGTACCTGAATTACATCTCGCCCCATTGTGTAATGGTTAGCACTCTGGACTCTGAATTATATCTCATTATTTCCATATTAGTTCTCTGAACTGCCTACCAGATATTTCCACCTTCCTAATTCATAGGTTCCTCAACTCAGTTTATTCCCAACAGAGTTCATCATCCTCTTTTGTAGGCAGTGCCACACGGTGAGATCAGGGTGAACCATCTCCTATGGTCAGATGTCCCTACTAGATGCCTGGAGGATTAAAGAATCTTTCTTACCTGCCTCTTGGCCTTTTCCCATTTTTCTTCCTCATCACCACTAGAGTGATATGCATAATACACAAATCTGATCATTCTACCGGCCCCCTCACAATTTTTTCGCACTTCTCCTTCACACTCAAGGTAAAACTTAGATCTCTTAACCTGACACAAAGGTTTTCACGATGTGAGCTCTCGAGATCTAGCCCATCTTCCATGCCCTCATCTCTGCTGTTTTTATTACAGCATTACTGAACTGATATTCTCTGACCCTCTCGTACCCATCCGTGCCTTTGCACATGCTATCCCACTACCTTCAGTGGTCTGTTGTTCTTGTCCGCAGGGCTGACTTCTAGAGTTTCATTAACTACGTGACTCAAGAAGTCTTAACTTGTTTCAGTTCAGCTTTGAATTCCAAATAGTGGTATGGAAGGCTTCTCTCATCACTATCCATCTTATTTTCTATGGTAGAGCTTTCTTGGGCTGATAGTTTTTCTGGGACATTTTGAATAAGAATGGTCATGTGATATAAATTGGAGACAAAGCAAAGCAAAGTCTCTGAGCATGGATGGATGCCACTCCTGCTGGGTATTGTTGAGTGTGCTGCTGGATGCTGCGGCAGTACAATTCTCAGCAAACACTGATGGGAGGAAGATCGAGTTTTAGCTCTGGTGCAGAAGATGGTGAATGCTTCCTGCGCAGACACTAAGTGAACTGTCAGATTCAGGGCAAAGAAATAAGTGAGATGCTCAAGTGAACAGCTACCATATATATATGACCTAAACCAAATCTCGCTTTATTACACAGCAGCTGTTGCTCATTTTGTACAGTTTTATTGAAGTATAATTGCCATGCCATAAAATTCACGCATTGTAAGGGTCCATTTCAAAGATTTATAGTAAATTTATTGAGCTGTGCAATCATCTTCACAGTCCATTTTTAGAACAGTTCCATCACTGCTAAGAGATCCCTCCTGCCCTGAAGGAGTTACTCTGTGGGGTGGTCGCGTCCGCACCCCAGGCAACCACTTACCTACTCTTTGTCTCTATAGATTTGACTTTTCTGGAGAATTAGTATAAATAGATTATCACCCTATATAGTTTTTTATGTCAGGCTTCTTTCAGTTTGCCTATTTTGAGGATTCGTCCATGTTGTAGCATATTTCAATAATTTCTTATATTTTTATTGCAAAAAATTATCCCATTGTATGGATGTATCACATTTTGTTTATCCATTTACCAGTTGTTGGACATATGAATTGTGCCAGTTTTTGGCTATTACAAATAACGCACCTGTGAACATTCATACACAAGCCTTTGTGAGGATATAGATTTTCATTCTTCTTGGGTTGTTTGTTTTCTTATTTATTGAGTTTTAAGCGCTCTTTATCAGATATATGACTTTCAAATATTTTCTCCCTGACTATATTTTGTCTTTTCATTTTAATAGGTCTCTTTTGAAGAGGAAACGTCTTTAATTTTGATGAAATCCAATTTATCAATTTCTGTCTTACAGATCACGCTTTTCATATCATATTTAAGAAATGCATAGCTTCATAAGAATTTCCTTCTGGAGTTTTTATAATTTTAGCTCGTATCCTTAGGCGTATGACATGTTTTGATTTAATTTTTGTGTATGGTATGCAGTAATGGTCCAAGTTCATTATTTATTATTATTATATCATTATTACATATGGGTATCCCTGCACTGTTTGATGAAAAAGAATATCCTTTCCCATTTGAACTGACTTATTGTCTTTCTCAAAACCATAAGTGGAAGGGTTTATGTCTGGACTTTTTCTTCTTTTCCCTTAATTTATATGTCTATCCTATGTTAATATCACATTCTGTTGATTATTATAGTTTTATACTGTTTCAAAATTGGCTAGTGTAACTCCTCCAACTGTCTTTCTTTTTCAAAATTGCTTTGATATTCAAATCTTTTGCATTTCCATTTAAATTTAGGGTCAGCCTGTCAACCTCTCCAAAAGATCCTGCAGGGATTTTGATGGGGCCTGCCTTGTATCCAGTGATAAACCTGGGGAGAATTTCTATCTTAACAATACTGAGTCCTCCATGATCAAGGAAGGCTTTTCCATTTGTTTAGATCTGCTTTAATTTCTTCTTAACATTTTATATTTTTCCATGTAAAGTTCTTGCATTTCTGTTTTTTTTTTTTTTTTTTTTTTTGAGGAAGATTAGCCCTGAGCTAACTACTGCCAGTCCTCCTCTTTCTGCAGAGGAAACCTGGCCCTGAGCTAATATCGTGCCCATCTTCCTCTACCTTATATGTGGGATGCCTACCACAGCATGGCGTGCCAAATGGTGCCATGTGCGCACCCAGGATCCGAACCGGCGAACCCTGGGCCACCGAGAAGCAGAAATGCGGAAACTTAACCGCTGCACCACCGGGCAGGCCCTATTTCATTTATTTTAATATACTGTGAAGTACTATTCTTTATGATGCAGTTGTGAAAAGATTTTAGTCTTACTTTTATTTTTGGATTATTCATCACCAGTATATAGAAACACATTTGATTTTTGTATATGAATCCTCTATCCTGAAGCCTTGCTAAATTCTTTTATTAGTTCTAGAAGTTTCTCTATAAATGTTGTAGGATTTTGTACGTACAAAATCACGTAGTCTGAGAATAAATACTGTTTTACTTCTTCCCTTCCAATCTGGATGCATTTTATTTCAATTTCTCATCTGATTGCACTGGCTCATATCCCCAGTACAATGTTGAATAAAAGTAATGAGAGTAGACATCCTTACCTGGCTATCAATACCAAAGGCAAAGCATTCAGTCTTTTCAAGCTTTCACCATTAAGGTGGATATTTTATTCAAACCCTTTATCAGGTTGAGGAAGTTCTGTCCATACTTTGTTGAGAGTTTTTATCATGAATGGGTGCTGTTTTTTGTCAAATTTCTTTTTCTACTACTACTGAAATGATAATGTGGTATGTCCTTTATTCTGTTAATATAGTGTATTACATTATTTGATTTGGGCTGTTAAGCCAATCTTATATTCATAGGATAAATCTCAGTTGGTCATGGTATATAATCTTTTTTATATATATTTTAGGATTAGGTTTGCCAATATTTTATAGAGGATTTTTGCACCTGTGTCCACAGAAATACTAGTTTGTAATTTTCTTGTGATTTCTTTGTCTTTGCTATTAGGGCAATGCTGGCCTGATAGAATAAATTGGGATATTTACCTCTTCTCTATTTTGTGGAAGTTTTTGAGTTGAAGTGGTATTAGTTATTATTTAACTATTTGATAGGATTCACCAGTGAAGCCAGCTGGTCCTGAACTTCTCTCTATGGCATGGAATGAGAAACTATGGTGCACATGCTAAATCCAGCCCATGGCCTCTATTTGTATGGCCCATAAACTCTGAGCGGGTTTTACACTTTTGTGTGTGTGTGTGAGGAAGATTGGCCAATCTTCCTCTTTTTGTTTGAGGAAGATTGTCTCTGAACTAACATCTGTGGCAGTCTTCCTGTATTTTATATGTGGGACACTGCCACAGCATGGCTTGATGAGTGGTGTGCAGGTCCACGCCCAGGATCCGAACCCATGCACCCTGGGTCACCTGAGCAAAATGTGCAAACCTAACCACTATGCCACCAGGCTGGCTCCAAGGGTTTTATACTTTTAAAAGTGTTGTAAAAAGAAGCAGCAGCAGAAGCAGCAGCAGCAATACAAGCTGCATATGGCTAACAAAGCCTAAAATATTTACTATATAGCCCCTTACAGAAAATTTTGCTGATTTCTGCTCTATAAGGTATTAACTCATTCCATTTCTTTATTTGAAATAAGTCTACCCAGACATTTTATATTTTTCTTGAATCACCTTTGATAATTTATGTCTTTCTAGGAATATTTTTATTTCATTTAAGTTATCAAATTCATTGGCATAGTGTTGTCCATAAAGTTCCTTTACATATTTTCTTAATTCCTGTATAATAAACAGAACAGTGGCTACAAAAGAAAGAGAGAAATTTATAATTGAATTTCCTCACCAAAAAGCAGGGAACACAGATGGTTTCTTACAGGAATTTTACCAAACCTTTTAAAGATCAGAGACTCTCAAACTACTTAAAACATTCCAAAGTATGGAAAAGTAGGGGAAACTTCCAAATTATTTTCATGGCATGAGTTTAGCATTTAT